TTGGGACGGACGAAAATGGAAAATGGTAACCTTTCAATGGGACGGAGGGAGTATTTTATTGTCCAATTATAAAATAAATATATTCTTTTTTTTAGTACTCATGAACTTTATTTTTTTTATAAAAATACTTTTATTTTACATCATATCATTGTTTTTACATTAAAAAATAAGGACAAAATAAGAAAAAAAAATAATCCTTTCATCTTTTAAATGAGTATTTGATTGTTTTTTTTACACTTTTTTTAATATCAGTATAATATTAATATATAATACAAAGTAATAAAAAAATGACAAATTAACATTATTAGTATTATATACTATAAAGACAATGATATATGTTTAATACTATCTTCGTTTCAAAATAATAAAGACATTTGGGATTGACACAGATATTAAGTAATAATAATATTATATAGATAATGAGTATAAAAGTGTTTTTAAAAGACCAAAATGTCTCTACTTTATGTAATTATTGTAAAAATGTGAAGATAGTTTTGTAAAGATGTGGGAAAATAGTTACCAAAAATTGAAATGAGACTATTATTTTGGAACGAACGAAAATAGCAAAATAAGACGATTGTTTTGAAACAAATAAATATATTATAAATTTTAAAAATATTTTTAATGTTATATAGATAGTACATCTACTAAAAATATTTTTTTATTAGGGAACTGACGGAATACTTTGAATAAAAAAAAATTAAATGATAAAAATAATATTTTAACTTGAAACTAGAGTCTATACATATTTATTATTATATAAATTAATATGTATTTTTTTAATGCTCAATTTTGACAAGATATCTTTGAATCTTAAAAGTTAAAAATAAGTAAAAGAGAAGTAGCATTTAATGTGATTTTTTTTTTTTAAAAAAAAAATTATATTTAATATGATAATTTTTTTCTACAAAATTGAATTATATACTATCTTCGTTCACTGTCAATTTATCTATTTGGATTTGGCATCATTATCTTTAATATTAAAAATATCTTTATATTTGTATTTTTTTGTATAAATATCATTACATTAGTATTATAAGACATCAATATAAATATTTTTGTCATTTTCTATTGATTTGTACTATATTTTGATATAATAATTAATATTCAAATATTAATATGCAAAAAGTAAATGGATAGATTAGCGGTGGACGGAGGTAGTATTAAATTTTCGAAAGTTAGTCCTATGTTTGGATGCTTCCTACCCAACATTTTAATATATATATATATATATATATATCAAAGCACAAAATATAGCATATTAATATCAAAGTTGAATTTCCAATTGAAAATTGTAAAACTTGAATTGTAATGTGTCTCATGTTTTTGAATTATAATTTAATTTTTATGTCATATAAAAAATATTATCTCCGTCTATTTATAATGCATGTATTTACTTTTTGCGGAAAGTTTAAAAAATATTACTCCTTCCGTCCAACTTTTTATGTCGATCTTTCTATTTCCGTCAGTCCCACTTATATTGTCACTTTCTTTTTTTAAAAAAAAATAAAATTATACACTTTAATTTTATTTAAAAAAAATTAATTTATAATTTTTAAAATTTTAATTATACTAATAACTTATTTTAATCTCAATCTATAATTATTTTTATTATACGATAATTATTTTTACTGATATATTTTTACTTATTTACTATTATACCCCTTCTAAATTCTCGTGTCTACAGTGAAACGGACAAAATATCTGAAACGAAAGAAGTATATTTTAATAATAGTTGATGATAATTTTAATATTTTAAAACTATTTTATCGCTATAATATGTAAAATAAATGTGAGAGTATTAAACAATTAAACATAACCAAATACATAATTAACAAATGGGCTAAAACAAATATTAAATTTGATACTATATATATATATATTTTTTAAATAATACTCATTCCGTTCTATCACAATTTTGACACTATTTTTATTTATGTCTGTCCCGTTACAATTATATTTTTTTATATTTGGTAAAAATTATTAAATCAAAACATATTTAACAAATATAAATCAATTTAATTAACTACATAACATACAACATCATAAATATTATTAATTATACAAAAAATAATATAATAATATCATAACTAATTATTATTAATTAATTAAACATCTTCACCTTAAATACCGTGTCCCTAATCAAATGGTTCAATTTCGATGGGACGGAGGGAGTATTACGCAAATATCATTATCTTTATATCATACAAAACCAATAAGGATAATTTAGTCTTTTTACTTTTATTTTTATTACATAAAAAATAATACTTATATTTTTTAAATTCAGTACAAAAAGCAAAAGAATAGATAACTATAAGACGGATGAAAGTAGTAAATCTTTAGCCAAACACACCCTACTTTCAAACTTCTTAAAAAATATAAAATATTTCGAAAAAGACCACACTATAAATTACATTTATTAATAGAAAATTTTGGATTTTTTTATAAAAAATGTCACTAATTTTCGTTATCAATGCATTGAATATTTTGATAAAACATTTAATTCGATAGATTTTATACACAATTTAGCAGATTTTGTGCATTGATAACATATTTGTTATTTAATAAAAATTTGTTTGATTTTGCTTTGAAATTGGATTTTTTTTATTTGATTTTTAATCTTAACAGTAATTTGATATTAAATCTTGTAATATGTAATTACATATGTTTATTAAAAATTATGCGAATTTAATAATAAATTTGATGTGTGTTTGTTCCGTGAGATTATTGAAAAAAAATATATATTTTTTTATGTGAGTTACGGATAATTGTGTAGAAAATATAAAAATAATGAATATGTACAGTACATTATTTTTTTAAAAAAACATATAAGAAAAAATAATATAATAAACTAATTATTTTTAATTTTTTTATTCAAATGTCATCAATTTAATAAAAAATACTACGATTCCATTTAGAGAGAGAATTTTTGAGTTTCGGAAATAATAAACAATTAATATTTGATCTAATTTTTTATAAAAAAAAATATATATTTGAACTAATATTTATGTATATAGAAACTATATTATCTTATTTACAAAATGCTCCATCCACATGACCTTTTTTATGCCACTTTATTTCAATAACAAAAATAAAATTAATAATATTTTAATATAAAATTATTGATAAGTAAAATACTCTCTCCGTCCCAAAAGATTTGTCTTATTTTTTTATTTTCGTCGGTCCCAAAACAATTGTCTTGTTTTCTTATTTAGTAGTCGTGGTTCCCACTTTATAATAAAATTATTCATATTTTTTCGTACTACCCTTAATTATTACTCTAACATACTCTTTAAAATCTTTCCAAAGCAAGGGCATTTTAGTCATTTACATTCTACTTTATATTTACTTTCAATTAAATATTATTATTCCTTAATTCCCGTGTCTCGGAGGGAATATATTTTTGTCTTTTTATCTTGATTTGTATTATATCTTGATATAATAATTAATATTTAAAAATAAAAATACAAAAAATCAATGGTAACTTTGCAGCGGGACGGAGGAAGTATAATTTTTTACACGTAGATACACTCAAAGCTTTCTTATTTTTATCTTTAAAAATAAATGTTTTTTTTTTAATTTAAAATTTCTCATTTTTATAAAATTAATTTTAAATTAGTTATAAATAATAATTTATTTATTTGTATTATAGTATAAAATCTATTAGTATTAAAAGATGATTTTCATAATGTGATATATTTTATTAAGATATAATACTAAAATTATTTAAAATACAAATAATATTATTTATATAAATATAATAAAATAATATCATAATTTATTATTACTAATTTAATAATCTATATCATTTAAAATACTGTGTCTCATCTTACCCGCGACCAAAGAAAGTACAATTCTAAAAAGAAAAAAAAAAGTAAAGAGACCAATGATATGTGTTTATTTGGGGTTTGAATTTTTTATTAGAATTTTAATAGTAAAAATTACTGTTATATAATTATATAAATAGGTATTGATATGATATTTTAAATATAAAATTAATTTTTAGTATAATACTCATTCCGTTCCATATAATTTATCTATTTTTCTATTTTGGTATATCTCATAACAAAGTAACATATACAATGTGTTGTTTATAGTAATATTATGTGCTATCTAATAACACACGATGTGCTGTTCAGTATTGTAGCCGTCATTGGTAACAAAATATATATATTTTTTTAGTAATTGTAATGTGTTGTTTATAGTAATATTATGTGCTATCTAATAACACACGATGTGCTGTTCAGCACTGTAGCCGTCGTTGGTAACAAAAAATATATATTTTTTTAGTAATTGTACTTTCTATTAACATTAAAAATATATTTATAATTTATAATAATATATTACATAAATATCATTACATTTATATCACATGATTTATTTTAGTTTTTTCTATTTTATTCATATTACACCATAATATAATACTCCCTCCGTCCCAAAGTATAGTCTTACTGTAAAAAGTAGTAACAATTGTGTAATAATAATGAAAAAGTAGGGATAGTTTTATGGTGATATGGTTATTTATGAAAATGAGACTATTATTTTCAGACGTACAAAAATGGTAAACAAGACTATTGTATTAGGACGGATTAAGTACTAATATTTTTAAAACTTTGTGAAAAAACAAATGAATAAATAGATAAAAAACGAAGAAAATAAAAAATAAAATTTTAATTCGACATTTTGGAGAATTTTTTTTAATAAATAAGTAAAAATACGTAAAAATATAAAAGCACACACCATAAATTAATATTTTAATATATCTTTATTATTAGAAAAGAAAAAAATAGAGAGGACGGATGTTGGGATCTGGTCAACGTAGTTTGACCACGCAATTAAGCATTAAAAAAATGAAAAGGAAAAAGAAAGTGAAACCGCATGAGGGTATTTCAGTAATTAAATATATATAAATAATTTCGAAATATTTATTTTAATTATTATCAGTTATTACTGGCGTCGCTTGCCTTCTTCTCACGTCCTTCTCGCCTTTATATACAAGTCTGCTCGTTTCGCGTTCCCTACTTCTTTATCCATTCACTCTCTCTGCATCTGCGGTTACACAAAACCAAAATATTCAATCAATTCTGTGTGGATAATGAGAACCAGGAGAGGTCTGTGTTATTCCAGAGATATGGACGAGTTTTGCGGCGAAGAGATCAGCTGCAATGGACGGAAGAGGAGGAAAGTCGCCGGAGAAGTGGTTGATTGCAGTAAGAGGACGAGATTTGCGCCGGACGCCGGTGGAGAGCGTGATTTCTTCGATGATTTGCCTGACGATCTCGTGCTTTGTATTTTGTGTAAACTTAGCTCCACCGCTGGATGTCCGGCGGATTTCGTCAATGTTTTGATGACGTATGGTTTTTGTTTCACTTTTTTTTTGCTTTGGATTTGTTTTTGGTTTAACTTGAGGATTTTTTTACGGTTTTGGATTTTGATTTGGTTGAGAAATAGTTTGTCTTCTCTTTTGAGTGGTTTGTTAATTTGAATGTGGAGTTGATTCAGTTTTTTGGCTTTTTTTTGATGTGTAGATGCAAGAGATTTAATGGATTAGGTCTCAATTCTCTGGTGCTATCCAAAGCTTCGCGAAGGATGTTCGCAGTGAAAGCCAGAAATTGGTCGGATTCCGCTCACCGCTTTCTGAAGCTCTGCGCCGACGTCGGCAATGTCGAAGCCTGCTACACTCTAGGCATGGTGTGTATTCTCTACAAATTTTTAATTTCCTAAAAACTCGTAAACAATTGCAAATAGCCACAAATTTTTCAAATCCGCGCTTCATTGTAGGAAATTGTTTGTTATTGATTGCTGTTTCTGGCCACAGATTCGATTCTACTGTTTACAAAACCGAGGAAGCGGAGTATCGTTTATGGCGAAGGCGGCGATTGAATCGCACGCGCCGGCGCTGTACTCACTAGCCATAATCCAGTTCAACGGCAGTGGCGGCACGAAAAACGATAAGGATCTACGCGCCGGCGTCGCGTTGTGCGCACGCGCCGCCTTCCTCGGCCACGTCGACGCTCTCCGCGAGCTCGGCCACTGCCTACAAGACGGTTACGGCGTGAAGCGCAACGTCACCGAAGGCCGCCGCTTCTTAATCCAAGCCAACGCGCGTGAGTTGGCCGCCGTCCTCGTCGCCTGTCCGTCGGCGGCGGTGCCACGGTCGTGGCTGACGTGGAATCCCCACCGCCACGCCGCCGCCGACGGCGGCGGCTGCCCGCTGTTGAGCGATTTCGGGTGTAATGTGCCGTCGCCGGCGCCCCACCCGGCGAACCAGTTCCTATCCGACTGGTATTCCGGTCGGACCGGCTCCAACCCGGGTTCGGAGCTCCGGCTCTGTTCCCACTCGGGTTGCGGCAGACCGGAGACACGTCGGCATGAATTCCGGCGGTGTTCGGTGTGCGGAGCAGTGAATTATTGCTCACGTGCCTGTCAGGCGCTGGATTGGAAGCTGCGCCATAAGGTTGAGTGCTCACCCGTGGAAAGATGGGCTAACGGTAACGTTAACGACGTTAACGCTAACGGCGACGTGGACGAGGTGATGGAGGATAGTTAGCGGTGCTCCAAAAATAACCGAAATTTTGTCTAATTAAAAAAGAAAAAGAAAAAAAAATAATATATATATATATATATATAGTCTGTAATGTAATATTTATTGGGTTTTTTTTTTTTTTAAATTTTATTTTGAAAAAAAATTAAATTAATATATATAATGAATGATGTGGTGTGGTGACCAAATGATAAGGGAGGGTTGATGTTGTTGGAGTGAATATAAATAGAATTATGAATTGTCACATGAAATGTGGGGGCATTGTGGAGTCACAGTCATGATTTTCTTGGAGAGAAAGTGAGGCATTGATTCAAAGTGTTGGTAAATATGATGCAAAGGGTGTGCCACTACATTAGTACATTTCATAAAAGCAATCTCAATTTTCAATATTTATTAACTTAATTTAATTATTTTGTGTACTACTACAACACAACACAGCACATTCATTAGGTGAGATTGATTGACACAATAATGTATATATATATATATATATTGTGTGTGCATAATTAACCAACCACATTATATGCTTGAAATTTGGACTATGGTTTTCCATATGGCTTAACTTTAGGGTAAAGACTGAAGAGAGAAGATAACTATCACATTAGAATTAGAATTAAATTAAATTATATTTGTCCCTTCGATTCAACGATCCATTTACTTTATTTTTTAATATTAATTATTTTTCTTCGCTTTTTAACAAATTATTTATTTTTTAATTTTTTATTTTATTTAATAGTTGCACTATCTATTAATGTTACAAATATTTTTTTAATTTACAATATGTTACAAAAATTTTATTATTTTAATATACTAATAAAGTTTTAGTTATTTTTATTTTTATTTCTAATACATTTCAATATAATACTAATATTTTTTAAACACTTGTAATAATCAGATAAACATATATGGGACTAAGAGAGTATTATATAAAATTATAATACAAATAAATAAAAAAATTATATTAATATCTTATAATATTATAATATATAATATATTTGTAAAAAAAATTATATAATAAAAAAATATTTTTACTGTCAAATAAATGACAGCAAAAAAAATAATAAATGTATGTGTGTGGGTAATTATGATTATGAATAATTATTGGTTCTTTGACCATATTTTTGTAAAGGAAGCAGCTTTTTAATGGTATTTAATCACTGGTAAATTAATTAAATTACAGCTTTTTATGCAAGGTTGGTTTAAATTTTAGAATCAGGCTTTGGAAATTTGTAAGGCATTCCATGTGTGATGCCCAAGTTTTTATGTTATCTCTTTCACCATTTTCAATTAAATTGGAACCTGTCTAGAAAATAAAAACACATTATTATTATTATTATTATTATTATTATTATTATTATTATTATTATTATTATTGTTACTATTCCTCCGTCCTATGATTAGTTATCTATTTATTTTTTACACAAAATTTTAGAAATATTAGTATTATATTAAGATGTAAGTAAGAATAAAGTATAAATAACTAAAATAATCTTATTAGTATGTGTGATATAAAAGTAATGACATTTATGTAATATTGTAAGTTATAAGGGTATTTGTAATATTAGGTAGATAGTACAATTACTAAAAAAAAAAATTGATACTTTGTTATGAGGTAGACTAAAATGAAAAAAATGAATATTTTGTTATGAGACGGAGGGAGTATTATTATTATTATTATTATTATTAATTATTTCAGTTAAATTGGAACCTGTCTAGAAATAAAAATATATTTCATTGGTCTTTTTAACTATTTAGTTATTTTTTCATTTTGATATGTTCTATGACAAAGCATATATTTCTTTTTTTTTTTTATTTTTAAGTAATTGAACTATCTACTTAATATTATAAATACCCTTCTAATTTAAATATATTACACAAATGACACTATCTTTATATTATCATTCAATACCAATAAGGTTAATTTAGTTTTTTACTTTTATTTCTATTAAATTATAATATAATATTCCATTTGTTCCATTGAAAAGTTACAATTTTTCATTTTCGTCCATCCCAAAACAAGGTTATCATTTTCTAATTTAGTAATTGTACTATCTACTTAACATAATAAATACCCTTTCCACTTACAATATATTACACAAATGCCATTACTTTTATATTACCCCTTACTAATAAGGGTATTTTTGCCTTTTTATTACAATCCAATATAATACTAATATTAAAAAATCTACATGCTAAAAACAAACGCCACCCTTCCAACGAGACGGAGAGAGTACTAATGTTTTTAAAATTCCAAACAAAAATATTTCCTCCGTCCCAAAAGAAGTGTCTTATTGAGAGTTGAGATGAGAATTAAGGAATAATAGTACTTAATTAAAAGTGAGTATAAAGTAGAATATAAATGACTAAAATGCCCTTACTTTTTGAATGATTTTAAATAGTATGTTAGAGTAATAATTAGGGGTAGTATGGAAAAGTATGAATAATTTTGTTATAAAGTAGGGACCACGACTACTAAATAAGGAAACAAGACAATTGTTTTGGGACGGACGAAAATGGAAAAACAAAACAAATCTTTTGAGACGGATTTACTCCCTTCATCCCATAACAAAATATCAATTTTTTTTTTTTAGTAATTGTGCTATCTACTTAACATTACATATATCATTCTCATTTACAATATACTACACAAATATCATTACCTTTATATCATACAATACTAATAAAGTTAATTTAGTCTTTTTATTTTTATTTTTATTATATTTAATATAATACTAATATTTTTAAAACTTCGTATAAAAAATAAATAAATATATAAATATAGGACGATGGGAGTCGATAAATACGAGACGGAGTGAATATTATTATTATTATTATTCCAATTAAATTGAACCTGTCTAGAAATTAAAACATATTATTATTATTATTATTATTATTATTATTATTATTATTGTAGAGAGACAGCTGGGGTGGATGGGTAATTTACGTAAATAGAAAGATTGTATGTAAGTGGTAAAATTAATATGCACCCCAAAAAAAGGCAAGAAAGTAAATGGTAAATAGGGTGAGACAAAGAGGATCCTAAGTACTAATAGTGACTCAGTTACAATCACTACTGTTCATCTTTTTATTTTATTTTATTTTATTTTTATAATATTATTTTTTGTTTTGTTTTTCCCATAATGTTTGGTCAAATAATGTCAGGGGTTGTAAGAAATTGACCAAACCACAACAAGAAAATAATAATAATAATAATAAAAGATTGAAAATAAAATAAGAAATGGATTAATTAGAAAGGGGGTAAAGTTGAAGTTAGGAGACAAGTGCACTTTGTAAGTGGAGAATAATATTGGTGTGTGTCTCTTAGTTTAAGCCTTTTTTATTTTATTTATCAATAAAGAAAAGAATTGACAAAAACATTTGTGTATCTATATATATATATATATATATGGAATTGGAAAATGGTATCTAATTAAAATGGTGGGACTACAATTTTATTTTTTATTTTTTAAATCACCACTAGTTATCTAAATTCACATCATTGAACTTCACAAAGTTTCATTTTGTGGGCATCCTTATTAAATTAATCCCTGTTTTGGGCACGATATTTAAAAAATATTAATATTATATTTGTAATGGATAAAATGTAAGAATAAATGATTTTTTTTTTGTCCTTGTGAGTATATAAGTGTAGAAAGTAGTGACAATTGTGTAATAATGATGAAAAAGTAGAGATAGTTTTACGGTTATATGATTATTTATGAAAATAAGACTATTATTTTGAGACGGACAAAAGTGATAAACAAGACTATTATTGTATTGGAACGGAAAAAGTAGTATTTTTTGTAAGAATTATTACTATGTATTGTTAATTTATATTATATATTGTGTTGTGTTAATACATGATATACTGGCATTAAATAATGTTATGTGTTGTATAGAATATTATTATGTGATGTAAACACTTGTACTTCCTCCGTCCCATAACTAAATATTCATTTTCTTTTTGTGCGTAGTTTTAGAAATATTAATATTATATTTGGATATGGTAGGAATAAAGTAGAAATAACTAAAATAACCTTATTAGTATGTGTAATATAAAAGTAATGACATTTATGTAATATATTGTAAGTTGTAAGAGTATTTGTAATGTTAGGTAGATAATACGGTTACTAAAAAAAGAAATGAATACTTTGTTATGAGACAGACTAAAATGAAAAAATTGATACTTTGTTATGAGACGGAGGGAGTATAATGTTACCATTAAATCTTGTATTGATATCAGTTATGATATATTATGTGTGTACTTTTATCATATACTCCCTCGTCCATAAAAATTATATAGATAAATATGGGTACGAAGATTAACTACCCCTGTTTCATAAAAAGAGTACCATTAGTTTTTTGTTTGTAAATATTTGAATATGAATTATTATATCAATACGTAGTATAAATTAAAAAAAAAATATATCTATTTGTTTTTTGTAATACAAATACAATGATATTTGTAGAGTAAATTATATAAATATAAAAATATTTTTAACATTAAATACAATGACGTAAAGACAAATGGCACGCTTCTTACGGAATAAAAATAAATATTATATTGTAAAAATATACTAGTACCATTATTATTTGTATGTTAAATAAAAGACAATACTATTATTAGTAGATAAAGTTTTTTATTACAAATTAAAAATATACTTCTGTTCATCCCAATACAATAGTCTTATTTATCATTTTTTTCCGTCTCAAACAATAATTTTATTTTCATAAATAACCATATCACCATAAAACCACCTCTAATTTTTTATTTTTATTACACAATTGTCACTATTTTTTACCCTAATACACTCACAAGCGCAAAAAAGTTTTTTATCCATACATTTTACCAACTACCAATATAATATCAATATTTTTTAAATCTTGTGCCCGATCTAATTAAGTATATAGTTGTGGGACGAAAGGAGTATAAATTTAATGGACAATAAAAAAATTATTTATATAAATTTGATAAACGGAGAAAATACTAATTGAACTACTCATAAAGTTTTTTTATTATAAATAAAAAAAAAAAAGTTTAATGGACAAAAACTAAATATGTATATAAATTTGATAGATGGAAAAAATACTAATTAAGCTTATCAACACAAATAAGTATGGTAACTGAAGCCTTGCTATATATTCAATATACATTGATATAAAATTCAAAATATAATTCAACATTTTAATAGGATTAAAAACACAATATAATACTCCCTCCCTCCTAAAAGATTTGTCTTATTTTTATATTTTTGTCCGTCCCAAAACAATTGTTTTGTTTCTTTATTTAGTAGTTGTGATCCCTATTTTATAACAAAATTATTCTTACTTTTTCATACTACTCCTAATTATTATTCTAACGTACTCTTTAAAATCCTTCAAAAAGCAAGGGCATTTTAGTCATTTATATTCTATTTTATACCCACTTTCAATTAAATACTATTATTCCTTAATTCCCGTGCCAACTCTCAATAAGACACTTCTTTTGGGACGGAGGGAGTACTAATAATTTCTCCGTCATATAACTATGTATCCATTTACTTTTTGTACGGAGTTTTAAAAATATTAATATTATATTGGGATATAGTATAAATAAAATAAAAATGACTAAAATAACTTTATTTGTGCGATATAAAAATAACGATATTTGTGTAATATATTAGAAGTTGTAAGATATTTGTAATATTGGTAGATAGTACATTTACTAAAAAAAAATACTTTATTATGAGACATGCCACAATAAAAAAAATAAATACTTCGTTACAGAGGGAGCAATAATAATAATAATAATAATAATAATAATAACAATGGAGGCAAATATTGATTGGTATGAGAGAATTATTAGAGACATTATTTAGAGTAAAGTATTTGGTGGAAATGGGCCGTACAAATTTAAATTATTGCCTAAATAAGAGCAGCACAATTCTTACCATTTCTTTAATGCATAATGTTTGCCCATGTTACTTACTAGTATTATTATTACCATTTATTTTATTTTATTTTATTATAATAAATAAATAATTAGTTGGACTATGACATGAAATCATCACTCACCCCTCACTTCATTACAAATTTATTTCTGTAAAATGGCTGGACACAATCTTTACTTTATTTCTAATATTTCCCACTTTCTTTACAATTTTTCACTTTTTTTTTTTTTTTTATATTATTTATTATCGTGTGAGAATTCACAGTTGTTATTTTTCGAATGTAATTCGAATAAACTTTCCATCGAATTTGTAAGCTAGACCACATTTGCTTTTAACTTTGTTTGGTTATGTTTTGGTGTGTTTGATGATAGCAAAAATTTAAATTAAAAAAATATATTTTTAATATAATGTAGATAAATGTTTTATTTAATATTTTAAATGAAAATTAAATTTTGATATAACATAAAAATATATACTTGATATTGTGTCATTTGGAAAGAAAAAATATAGTAGAAGTGAATAGTGAAAATGTGTGTTTAAAACACAACCAAACAAATTCAGATTGCGGTTTATTTTTCATAAAAAAGAAATTATTAAAATTATACTATTTTTTATTTTACAAAAATTAAGAGACCTTTTATTTTTTATTTAAAGGTTTGGATTTATATTTGGATTTGAGGTTATATAATACTCTGTCCGTTTACAAATTAATGTCCTACTTTATTATTTAAAATGTTCAACAATTATTATTATTATTTATTTTTATACACAAAATTTACTATTTTACTTTTATTTTATTTTATTTTTTATTATTATTTTTTTTATACACAAAGTAAATGACAAATTTGTCCACTCATAACAAAGAAAACCAATTACCAACAAAAATGTGTAAATTCAATTTGGACAATAGAAAATGAACCAAGATCAATAAAGATTAGAATTAAAATTATATTTAATACTTTTTTAGTTTTGAATATCGTGTCCATATTACTGTACATACAAAATTTTAAAAAAATATAATTAATAATATATTAGTAATTAATAATTATTATATAACTTTACATACCCCATTCGTCCCTTAACAATCTATCTATTTTTCTATTTTCGCCCGTCCCATGACAAAGTATCAATTTCTTTTTTTAATAATTGTAGTATATACCTAGCATTACATATACCCTTCCAATTTACAATATATTATACAAATGCCATTGACTTTGTATCATACAATATTAATAAGGGTAATTTGGTCTTTTTACTTTTATTTTTACTACATGTGCAACTGAAGTGCAATTCTGCCTTATTTGTTTGAACACGGCAATAATTTTGGTAGACTTAAGGGTGTGTTTGTTCGGGGGTTTGGATTTTGTGTTGAGATTTGAATAGTAAAAATTTTGAATTTGAATAGTTGTATGATGTGATATAATTAGATGTTGATGTGATGTTTTGAATGTAAAATTGATTTTTAGTATAATATAAAAAATAAAAAATAAGTGTTTGATTTAATGTTTTTCGGGAGAAAAAATAGGATGAACAGTGGAATTAAAATCCAATCCCCCAAACAAACACACCCTAATACTCTATCCTTAATTAATTTGTTTAATTAGCAGCCTAACATATAGGATTTCATTGAAGTTTTAAAGTTAAGTGTAACCGAATAAAATAATACTCTCTCTGAGGTGTTTTTTTAACTATAATCATCAAAGTTTAGGATGTATATAATTAGTAAATAATTAAAAATATATTAATAAAAATAATTATTGTATATATTATCTTCATCCGGCTCTAAGAGTCCCATTTACTTTTTTGCGTATTGATTTTTTAATATTAATTATTATATCAAAATGTAGTACAAATTAAAAAAATAATTGCAAAAAAATTTCCATTAGTGTATTATAATACTAATAGAAAGACATTTGTAAAAAAATAATCATACAAATATAAATATATTTTTAATATTAAGTACAATGAATCAAAGATTAAATGTGACTTTAAAGGTGCACTGGAAAAATATATATTTTTATTTAGAAGAACTATAAAATTATAAATTGCATCTGAGTTGAGAATAAAACCAAAAAGAATTTGCAAGATAATATTTTAAAAAATTATTAAATTTTAAAAAATATATTTTTAAAAAATAAAAAATATTTTTTTATATTAAAAATAGTGCAATATATAAAACAAAGAATCCGTATGTTTTGATTAATGGGCTTGTAGCCCGTATTATTATTATTAATATTGGGCTTTAAGTGGGCCGGTTCAGAGGATAAGTCTGGGTTTTGGCCCATTCTACAGCCTTTATATAGAAAATAGAACTCTACCTCACTCTTATATTTCATATAATCGAATACTTCTTCGAAATCGAGGAGTTTACTTGGTTTGACGAAAGCTTCGCTGAGGTCTGAGGCAACCGGTAAGATCATTCTGTAATCGCTTCAAATTTGTTTCCGATATCAATTTCATGTGATTTTGATCGAATTTATGATTTCGAATTTCATCTTTTTCCGAGGTGTCGATTTCTAGGGTTTATGATTTTATTAAATAAATCTTGAATGGGGATGGATTTGGGAATATCGATTTGTTGAAATATGTTCTTATGTTCCTTTTTTTCTTTTTTTCTTAAAAAAAATAAATAATAATTCACGGTTCCGCTTGGATCTACTGCTTAGAGTGCTCGAATGTAAAGGAAAAAACAAAAATCAATTTCGGAACTGGCATTGTCGTAAATGATGAGATTTTATGTTTGAAAATTGACGATTATTGAAGTGGTTTTTGCACCTTGGAAATCTTTATGCAGCGAAAGGTTTTTATTTTCTACTCTGATGTTACTGAGACGGAGGAAAAATATGTGCGTTTTTTTGGATCTGAAAATTTTTAAAAGAAAAAATTATGTTATAGATTTTATGTTTTAATCATAAAATAGGCAAATAAGAAAGCTGTGGCTTTGTTTACTTTGGCTTTCTATTTGTGTTTAAAGAATAGTTGAGGTCATGTTATGTGAGATGAAATCATAGTTTCTTTTGTTGTGTTTTTGGAATAATAAAATTTTGAATTGAAATTGTTATTTAAACCGAAATGAAGAAGTGTTTGATTTGATAGTTTGAATGAAAAATATTTTTTAAAGTAATATATTAAATATAAAATAACAAGGGCTAACCAGCACAGACGTAGTTGAAAACAATATATGTTATGTATATCATTAGCACATACTGCTAGTTATATACTCTCTTCGTCCAACGAGAAAGTATACAGTTGCTTTTACGTCATTGTATTTAGCATTAAAACTATTTTTATATTTGTATAATTTACTCCACCAATATCATTGTATTTGTATTATAAGAAACTAATAGAAGTATTTTTGTCATTTTCTCTTGATTTGTCCTACGTTTTGATATAAAAATTAATATTTAAAGGTCAATACGAAAAAACAATTGTATACTTTTTGGTTGGACGGAAGTAGTATTATGTAGTGTTAACATGTTATACGTGTTGAGATAACCATGGCATGTGCTATGAGAACTATTGTCATGTCATGTTAGTTCATATGCTATATTGTATTTATATTAACATAAGTTGTGTGTTGTATTTATATTGTCATGTCATGTTAGTTGTGTGTTCAGAAAATATATGATTGCGATATATTTTTGATAGAGAAAAAATAAATGGATAGTGAAAATAGTATGCTGAAAACACAACCAAACAGATCCTGTGACATTCTACGCACTTTTGGAAATTTTGGCATTAGTCACATGATATATTCAACATTTTATTATTCCCAGAACTCGAAAAGCCTTTGTGAATGAAAAATAATTGTTGAATTGTAACACACATCGATTGCATAGTGAAAAAGTGAAATTCAAAAGACAAACACACACACATATATATATGTATATCGTTTCCAACCGTTACTTTTTTTGTTGATTCAGGAAAAGATGGGGTTCATAATGGAGTTTGCGGAGAATCTTGTGCTACGTTTGATGGAGAATCCTGAGGAAAGGGATAGGCGATTTCGGGAGAAGGTGTATGAAAGAAAAGAGAGGTGTAAGAAGACCAAAGAAATGTGGAGCTTGCCTTTACGTCCCTATGGCTTCTGGACATTTGAACGACACAATGCACAGATATTTTGGGATCCTCAAATCAGCCAAGTTGACGGGCGCCGCGATCCGTATGACAATATCCTCCGCGAGTATTCTAAGCCGTCTGCTGACTCTGCTCCTAAATGACCGGTCAGCCTCCTAACCTCTGTTCTTTTGTGTTTTTGTTTTAATAGACTTTTTTTTTTATTTAAAATAATAGTTAGATTTGATATTTTTTAAAGGAGAACGAATGATCGAGTAGTAAAAAAAGAAACACAGAAGAGTGCAGCCATAATGGACAAAAACATATCGGTTACGGTTTTCCAGTATATATAATCACTCCAGAAAATAATTACGATTAGCATTTTAATTTTACATGCTGCTGAACTGTGTGTTTGTTTGTGGGTTTGCATTTTTGAATAGTAATATGTTGAATTTGAATAGTTATTTGATGTGATATAAATAAGTATTGATGCGGTGTTTTGAATGTAAAATAGATTTGTAGTATATAAAGAAAAAAAAGTAATGGTTTGATTTGATATTTTTGGAGAAAAAAAAAATCTGAATAGTCGAAATATGTGACAAAATTCACAAAAGAACACAACTACGTGTTTCTTATTTTTGCATTTGATGTTATTTTCTGCGTTTTTGTTTGTCGTAAATATGTTTACACGTTATTGATTCCTATTCGTTTAAGAACCCTAAAATATTTTGTCAATTAAATATCTTTTGGTCATTCTAATTATCGATTTTGATAGAATAATATGTGTGCACACGCACACACACACATATACATATATGTATTTTACAGTTCTGAAAGTTTCATTTGTTATCGACTTTTTCCTTTTAGGACACATCTTATTGTCTCTAATGGCTTTTAGCTTCTAATCAAAATTTTTTCTCACAAATCATCACATCAAATACTCAAATTTTTATTTTTTCCAAATATTTCAAAACTTAAATTTAAAGATTTTTCATTCCGATCCGACCATAAATATTTTTTTGCAATGTTTCTGTAAGCATGCTTCCACAATTGTGAATCTCGATTCTATTTTGACTCATCTCCACTCTCCAATATCCTTCATCAGGCCTAGTCAAGTTCTTATAGATCAAATAGTGAGATCAAATAGTTCGACCCTAGGTGTGTGTGTGTGTTCTTAAATCTAACACCATTCTTAATATGAAAATCACAGTAAAAATTCTCAGGAAACACTTTATTTTAATGATTCGGTATTTTATAGTGTCGCGTTGCACAAGGGGCTGCCCATGTTATAGATATAAGTTGCTATTGGTTATGATTTATGCGAAGCTTTTGCTAAACTATTGTTGTGCTAGCTGTCTGTGTTTCATGATGTTAGAGTGTCATTGTCCCGGAAAAAAAAAAAAACCAATGACGTTTAAATTCAGTACAGTGCTGTATCTTCTGCTCATCGTATAGGTTTGGATTAAGTACTAAATATGATGAATGGATTAAGTGACTCGATTCTATGTTTTTGTACAGGAGAAACGCCGTTATGTCTTGAAACTGCTCTGCGACTCGCTTTAATAAGTACACCATGTCAAAAAAATGATTTATGTGCATTGGTTTCGACTGCATGCTTTGCCTTGCTATACCGTTACATATATATATTCTAGACTTTATTTCTAATCGATGACAAGTGTGCGATGTTGTACAATTTGCCATAAGTTTTCGAGTAATTCTTTCGGAATCGACTAAATAAGACACTTCTCACGCATCACTAGAGCACGCAACCGTACCGTTAGGATCAAGATTATAGATACACGAGAGAGGTTACGGTGCTGATAAGAACAAATCATCGGCACATAAAAAATATGCCGATAACCTGTAGTTTCAATTAATTCATATTTCGTATAAGAATCAATGGTATTTTGTGCTGCCCATTATATTTGTATTATATTTCAATTTGTGCTTTTTCTTTTTTTATTTGTCATTTAAAAGTATTTTTGTTTTTCTTTAATGAAAAAATTATACTTCCTCCGTCCAACCCGTCCCACCGAAATTGAATAATTTGATTAGGGACACTGTATTTAAGGTAAGGTAAGGATGTTTAATTAATTAATAATAATTAGTTATGATATTATTTTTTATATAATTAATACTAATATTTATAGTTTGAAAGTAAATTTAATACATATGATTAAAAAAATTAAAATATATTTGTTTATTTATAATTAACATAAATTAATTTTATAAAAATATTTATTTTTTTTTAGGAGAGAAATAAAAATAAAAGGGTTTTGAGTGAGTTCTATTAATTAAGTTGATTTATATTTGTTAAATATGTTTAGATTTAATAATTTTTACCAAAAATAGAAATGTATCCATTGTTACGGGACATACAAAAATGGAAATAGTGTCAATCGTGGTGGGAGTATTAAGAAATAATATCTTATTAGTTAGTGGAAGTATTTATTATGTTATATATTTATAATTTAGGTAAAAATTAAATGTATTTTGCTATTAATGTATAATTATTTTTACTAAAATGAATGAATACTTTTAAGTGAGACAAAAAAAATAGTAAAAAATATATTTTGAACCGAGACTGTAGGAATAATACTCTTTCTACTTTTTTATTATAAAAGTAAATGGTAATAAATAATACACTCTTACATTGAAATTCGTATCTAAAAGTTTGAGCATATTCTTAGATGACAGAAAATACTATAAATCTTATTCTATTTGTTGTCGTGTGTGCCTTTTTTTGTTGTCTAGTGTGCTAAGTTAATTCAGCATAGTAACTATCGCCATATAGATACATATATATATACATCGGCGGCCACCGGGTAAGGCTACCTATGCATTGCCGGATCCATTATCCGGCGAGGCACCGGTGCCGGATTCCACTTGCTTGTAAGCATCGGCCACTTCATCGACGGGCACCAACGGGACATACTTGAACATTTGGAACCCTTTTCCGGCCATGTCTTTAACCAAATTATTGTACTTGTTCGACAAATTTGCTGCGGCCGGAATAGCCATCTCGGCCAACCCTTGCAATGCCGGCTGCTGATTGGCTTTGTGCGCGACTGCGGCCAATTGCCCGATGGCGATGTCCTTGGATATTTTACCTGCTTGAGCTATGGCAGCTAAAGGACCGCCGGCCTTGGCTTCTCCGGCCAAGTCTAGCGCGACCTTGGACGCTTTTCCGGCGAGTTGTGTAGCCGTCCCGGCAATTGCCTTGACGGCGGGCGGTGTGAGCTCGTCGAGCTTTTGGGCTGCTGCATCTACCTGAGGTAGAGCAATATAACTTAGGGGTGAGCATTCGGATTTTCGGTTCGGATTTTGCCAAAATCCGAACCAATCAGAAAATTCGAAATTTTTGAAAAAATCAATCTGAATTGAAATAATCGAAATCAGAAATTCGAATCAAACTGAAAAATTCGAAATCCTAAATATTTTTAATTATTTTTCTAATTTGTAAATTTCTTTTATATTTTATTATTATTTTATAATATTATATATAATATATAAAAATTTAATATATTAAAATATAATTAATAATTTTGAATTTTTTTTTTATATTAAAATATAATATTTTCTAATAAAATATTAAATATATAATAAAAAATAAATTAAAATATTATATTTCAGATTGGTTCGGATTTCAAATATACCGATCCGAAAATCCGAATTTGTCAAAAATTCAATCCGAAACTATCCGGAAATCCAAACCAAATTTTAAATTTCGGTTTGGTTTGGATCAAATTTTCAAATTTCGAATATTTTGCTCACCCCTAATAGAACTTGTATTATCGAGAATATGAATAAATTTGGCTGTTCAGTGTTAGTTAATATTGTGCTGACGATACATATAAAATATGATTTGAGTGTTAGTTAGTACAGTGCTGACGATACATATAAAATATGATTTGACAACACCTGAAGTATAAATAGACAATATATGACGATACATATAAAATATGATTTGACAACACCTGAAGTATAAATAGCCAATATATGACAATACTTAATGTGATAATATAAATAAGTTTTGAAAGAAAATTTATTGAAGTTATAGTCCGTTGGCATTATATTTTTATTTATATCTATATATATATATATTTCTAAATCTAAGGTTATCTTCTTTTTCTTGGGTAATTTTAAAATTTTTTACTATATTAATTATTTTTTTTAAAATCAAATCTTATGTTAATATTTATTTTTGTATTATATTAAAAATTTTAATTTAATATATTAATATTAATATATTTTTATATAATATTAAATAATTATTTAAATTTAAAATTTTATTATTAAAAAATTTAAATAAAAAATCTTTATTTTCTTTCTATTTTATTTATTAAACAAATAAATATATTTATATTTATTATCATGTTTTTTTAATAAAACAAGCTTAAGCTAATTATGTATAGATTTATTTGTATTATAAATAATTTTATATTTTATGAAATTGTATACTCCCTTCGTCCCAGAAATATAGTCGGGTTGGATATAAGATTTAAAGAATATTGATATTATATTGGTATTTGGTAAAAAATATGGATAAAAAACTTTTTTTGCCCTTGTTAAGTGTATTAGAGTAAAAAGTAGTGACAATTGTGTAATAAAAATGAAAAAGTACGGGTAGTTTTATGGTGATATAATTATCTATAAAAATAAGACTATTGTTTTGGGACGGACAACAATGATAAACAAGACTATTATATTGTGACATATGTGTAATATTTAAAACACTTCACTGTACATTCTAATCTAATTTTTTGCGCCAAAAACCAATTGTTAGCATTATTATCTTATCTAATTTATATAAAATATCATATTTAATAATTATTTCTAACTACAAAAACCAAAATTACTATTCTTTTTATAATTTTCTATAAACAATTTTTTTTTTGATAAACTGTTTTTTAGTCCCGTAACTGGACCCTTTATCATTTTAGTCCTATAACCAAAATTATTTTGTTTTAGTCCTCCGGCGTCGGAGACGCCCGCGTGGCTCGCCGGAAGTGACGTGTCCGCCAGGTGTCCCGCCAGGTCAGCGACACCTGACGGACACGTGGATTTATTTATTTTTTTCATTTTTTTAATTTTTTTTAATTGTACCAAATAAAAACAAAATACAAATAAAATTTAAAATAAATTAAAAATAAATTTTAAAAAAAATTTAAAAAAATGAAAAGAAAAATAAAAAATCCACACGTCACCTCCGGCGAGCCACGCGGGCATCTCCGGCGCCGGAGGACTAAAATAACGAAAAATTTTCACTTATGGGATTAGTTTGCGACATGCTCCACTTACGGGACTAAAATGATAATGGGGTTCAGTTACGAGATTAAAAAAACAGTTTTTTTTTATTTTTATTTTTATTTTTTTTCTTGCAAAATACTACCTAGATTCATTGTTTAAACATCAGCCTGTGAAATAACATAAAACACGAACCACACTATTTAACAACTTAGGGTTTAGTGTTGAGTATAGTCATTCATCACAATTATTATAATACAAGCTCAACATTTTGAATGAATTAACTAACTAGCCTTCATTTCTACAATATATAATATAATATTTTGCGAGAAAAAAAATAGGTTATTTTAAAATTTCTGCAAAATATTCTACTCCTCCCGTCACAATACAATAGTCCTGTTGATCATTTTTGTTCGTCCAAAAACAATAGTCTCATTTCCATAAATAATCATATCACTATAAAGTTACATTTACTTTTTCATTATAGTTACACAACTGCCACTATTTTTACACTAATACACTCATAAGGGCAAAAAAAGTCTTTTACTCGTACTTTTTACCCATTACCAATATAATATTAATATTCTTTAAATCCCGTGCCAAACACAACCCAAACTATAGTTTTTGGACGGAGGAAGTAACAGATAGCGAATTACCAAAGGTTGAGCAATCAAATTAACGAGGAAAAATATCGACAAGACCAAAGAAAAAGGATTATAAATGTTACCTTGTTATCGAAAAAAACTAGTAGATCGCCGGGACCGTCTTTGATTTTCTCGAAGACGGGCCCCACCACCGCCGTAACGGCGTTTTCGACCATGTCGATAGTCGATTTGAGCGAACAACACATCTTCACGACATTGTAGAGATTCGACACCAAACCGACGGCGTGAACAATCAGAATCCTAATGAACCCTAAGTACTTCAGTTGCGAGTTGCTCTTATTCTATAAAATAAAACCAAAAATACATACAATTAAAAAAAAATCACGAAAGTCATTAAAAACATACAAAATAATCAAATAATAATACCAATAAAAAATGAGGAACTAAAGATCGATGAGCTGTTTGATAATTAGCCGTTGGAGACTCAGATAGTTATTAATTATTAGCTAATTCAATTTGTTGGTTCAATTAATTGGGAATTCCAACGACAACATACTGTGGCTCTTTCTATGAGGGAGTTGGAATATGTTGCTGTAATCGAAGCCTTAAAAGAAGCATTACGGCTAAAGGTCTTTTAAATGAATTAAAATACTTGCGTAATGACATAATGGTTTTTTCGGATAGCCAATTGGGTATACAACTATGTAAAAATCTCATTTTTCATGATTGAACTAAAAACAAGATGTTCACTTTCATTTTATACGCGATGTAGTATCTAAAGGCCTAGTAAAATTAGAAAAGATATTTTTTTGAATATAATCCTCGGAACAAAAGTTTTATTGATTAAATTTTTTGATTTGTGTAGAAAACAATATACAGTAACACTTTTGATTACTGAACTTTGTGAAAAAGTTCGCAGGTATAAAAGAATGTAAGTAATGACTGTTTGGACAGTGATTACACTCAATAGTGCACAATCTCTGTGCCCAAAAGGTAGAGATTTGTGATATATTTTGAGTCATATGATTTATTAAGGTTCAGTAAACAACCGACTCGTCTAATCGGGGGTTTTAATATCACCCCTTGGATTGGCTTACATGTGATATATCTATGCTTCTGTTGACCGTTGGGCACATCGGTTCACTCGATACATTTCACGTGTTCTCCGGTGGATCTGTCAGGTGGAAATGAAGGTTCTCATTTCTCCTTTGATGCTTGACTTGCTCCATGGTCGATTGATGATTTGATTGTTCGATTTTTTTGTCCTTTCTTGTATATACACTGTATTTTTGTCCGCTTTGTAGATCGATTTAAAATCGATGATGTTTTCTTATATTGAGGTTTGGTTTAGCGTGTTAGTTGCGTTTCCGAGGCTTTTAGTTTGTAGTTTAGGTCTTGATTGTGTGTTCGTTGGTGATTTCGTTGGTATTATGGTAACCTGAGTTTGAATTGTGTTGCTCTGGAAATTAATGGGAGATTTTTTAAGTTTTCGTTAGATGTAAAAACAACTTTCGATCCTAATTTTTAGGATTACAGATATGTTACTTAATTTGATATTATCTATTTACATGTAAAATAATAATTTAAAATATTTATATTTATGAGACAGGCTACCTTGCAAATGTTCAATCTCCACCTTTAATTTTAAATTTAATTATTTTAATTAAACAAATACTTTAGTAATCAATTGTATTGATTATATTTGGCATAGCATAATATTTTATTTTTAAAAGATTCATTGTGTTCTTTGGTTCTTAATAATTTTTTTCTTAGAAGTTTTTTATTAGTTATAAAAATTGTTTAAGTATCATAGTATATTTATTTTTGTTATTTTTAAATTTATAAAAAAATAATTTATTTTTATTGAAAAAAATAAATAAATTAAACAAGTTTTATAAAAATAAAAAACATAAAATATCTTAAATTATAATTTTAATAAAATAAATAAATAAATAATTGATTAATCTTTATTTTTATAGTTTTTGAAGATAAATTATTATCTGATTTTTTATAAAAACTATAAAAATAAATGATTGATCAATTATTTATTTATTTATTTTATTCAAAAATATTATTTAAAATATTTTAAGTTTTTTATTTGTATAAACTTGTGTAATTTAGGTGTTTATTTATAGTCAAATATCAATTTTTGACAAGAAGAGTGTTTCGTGCAAACTTTACATTAACACGAGGTTTCACTCAATAAATAAAACATAAGATATTTTATGTATTTTTATTAAAACAAGAGCGGGTGTTATCAGTGGCAGATCAACTGATTTATTAAGTGGATGCACGATTATATATTAATAAATTATCACTACAATATTAAAAAAGTTAAATTACATTCATTTATACATTTTTATACCATGAAAACATTTAATTATATTATCGTTTCTAATAGAGTGAAATAAGAACAAACAAAGAATATTAGAGTTTTGATACGGAACAAAATATAATTAATTAAATTTTTGTTAAGAAAAAATAAATCAAAATAAGAGTATCCTTCAAATAATTATAGAATAAATTTTTATATAGAATTTAATATTTGGATATTTGAATAGAATGAAAACTAAATTAATAATTAGTATATATACATAAAAATTGAAGTATGGTGCTACGACCCACCTTGATAATGGTGGATCCGTCAATTGTTGTTATATAATTTAGGGTAAACTGTTTTTTTAGTCCCGTAACTGGACCCCGTTATCATTTTAGTCCCATAAGTGGAGCCTGTCGCAAACTAGTCCTATAAGTGAAAAATTTTCGCTGTTTTAGTCCTCCGGCGCTGGAGACGCCCGTTGGCTCAGCGGAGGTGACGTGTCCGCCAAGTGTCGTGTAAGGTCAGTGACACGTGGCAGACACGTGGATTTTTTTTATTATTATTATTTTTTAAAAATTTATTTTTAATTTTATTTGCGTTTTTTTTATTTGGTCCAATTAAAAAAAATTAAAAAAAATAAATAAATAAATTCACGTGACATGTCACCTACGGAGAGCCACGCGGGCGTCTCCGGCGCCGGAGGACTAAAACAGCGAAAATTTTTCACTTATGGGACTAATTTGCGATAGGCTCCACTTACGGGACTAAAATGATAAGGGGTTCCAATTACGGGACTAAAAAAACAGTTTACCCTATAATTTACCCAAAAAATTAATATAAAACAAAGAATTATGTACAGGGTTTGTTTGAATGTTACTCGAAATTAAATTGAAATGAAGTATTGATTTGAACTTTTATTTATATAATTTTTTAATACGATACTTTATAAAAAATATATATATATATCTTTATTAAAAAAATACATATAAAAAATAAATAGTGTTTTGAAAGGGTAAAAAAACAATCTCTATTAATTTTTTGATTATTTGTTTACAAACTTAAATAATTTTTTTCGAAAAGTTAATTTAACAAATATTTCATTTAGCTATTTCACTCCTAAGGAAAAACTGATAAATAAGGTAGAAGATGTTGGATGTGTTTCCATTGCATGGTTTGGGGTTTCACAATTTTTCCTTTTATTTATTTTTTAATTTAACAAAATAAAATCTATGGAAAAATTTGTACGATGGTAAAAAACTGCATCAAATTAATTATTTAATTATTTTCATAACTATAATTTAATAAAATTATTCGATATCGATGTTCTTTCATAAAAAAAATATATAAAATTTTATATAATAAAACTAAATACATAATAGTATAGTTGACATTTAAGGAATATTGATATTACATTGGTAGTTATTAAAAAGTAAGGATAAATGACTTTTTTGTCCTTGTGAATATATTAGTATAAAAAGTAGTGGTAATTGTGTAATAATAATAAAAAAGTATGGATAGTTTTATGGTGATATAATTATTTATGGAAATGAGACTATTGTTTTGAGACGGACAAAAATGATAAACAAGACTATTGTATTGGGACGGAGGGAGTAATATTTTATTTATAATTTAACGAAATTAATACTTAGATTGAATCTATAAATCTAAAAGAACTAGAATATGAAAGTGAAAGTCTGTATTGCAATAATAAGAATGCGTATATATTTATACTAATATACAAATCGTCTAAATAATGCAAAAAAAATCCTACAAAATCTCTTAAATAAGATAACTATCATAAATATAAATATATTGTTTCTAAATACTCCCTCCGTCCCATATCAAAATATCTATTTTTCCATTTTAATCCGTCCCATAACAAAGTATCCATTTTTTTTTTCAGTAATTGTACTATATACCTAACATTACAAATACCCTTACAACTTACAATATATTACACAAATGCCATTACCTTTGTATCATACATACTAATAAGGTTATTTTAGTCATTTCTACTTTATTCATACTATATTCCAATATAATACTAATATTTCTAAAATTACGTACAAAAAACAAATAGATATTTACTTTTGGAACGGAGTGAGTGTATGTTAACAAACACAAACGTTCGATTTTATTTTAAAATTCAAATTTAAACCTAATTTTTGTGAACTCTCTCCAAATTGATAAATGCATAAATAAAATCGATTGTGGATTAAAAAGATAAGAGGAGGATGGAAGATGAAGATACAGTTACCTGAGATTGAGAGGAAGCCATTTTAATTCTACTGTATGTACGGCCTTCTTCTTCTCTGATACTCTTGTATGTATATGTATATCTATATCTATCTATATCTATATATATATATATGAACGAGGAAAATCACCAGTTAAGTACGTGATAAAAGAAGGAAGATGAACGGTGGATATTAAGACACGTGTCGTCCTTTAGTAAATTAGAGGGTTTGGGTTTTTTTTTTTTTTTTACCACCTTCCTACAAAAATTATGATTTTATTTGAGTACAAGTAAAATTTAAGGAATATTGATATTATATTAATAGTTGGTAAAAAATATAATTAAAAGATTTTTTTGTTTTTGTGAGTGTATTAGTATAAAAAGTAGTGGCATTTATGTAATAATAATAAAAAAATATGGATAATTTTATGGTGATATGAATATTTATGGAAATGAGACTATTATTTTGGGACGGATAAAAATAATAAATAAGACTATTGTATTGAGACGGATGAAGTATTTTTTATATGTAATTTCAAAAAATTTAGTTTGAGTTTTTAGTATTAAAATAATGTATAATGAAATGCTTTGTAAAAAAAAAAAAATATTCTTTTAAAAAACGCAGACTTGAAATAGTGAAAAAATAAAATTTTAAAAAACAAACCCCATAACTATGAAATTGTTAAAAATATTTGAAAATTTAGACATTTCTTTCAAATATCATTTTAATTAAATATTTTGAAGTAAAAATAATTTATATATAATATATAAAAAATAGATTTTTATTTAATTAAAGAAGAAATTTTTACATTTTGAATTTTTTTAATAATTTTTTTAAAAAAATATAAACCAAGAGTTTATTTAGTTATGATTTCATGCAAAAGTACACTATTCTCTCTCTCATTTTTTTATAAAAATATACTCCCTCCGTCCCACATTGGATATCTGAGTCACTGTAGACACGAGAATTTATAATAAATATAATTAGTAGATAATTAAAAATATATTAATGGAAATATTTATTCTATAATATAAATGATTATAAATTAAGGTTAAAATAACTAATTAATTTAATTAAAATTAAAAAAATTTAAATTTAAAAGTTTAAAATGAGATTAAAGTGTATAATCATTTATCTAAAAAAAAGTGACATGAGATGTGAAATCGGACAAAAATGACAATGTAAACATAGTAGATGGGACGAAGAGAGTACTACTTATTAAGGTGATATTATATGAAAAATATAAGGTATTTTTATTAAATATTTAATAAATATAATTATAATATTTATATTTTAAAACTCAAACCAAATACATCTAATATAAAATAAAAATAAATTATTATTTATTTTTTTTCTAAAATATTATTAATAATTTTAATAAAAAAATCCGCGAAAAAACATAGACCTTAATAAAGTACTAATAAAATTGCTGATAATAAAATGGAGGCGGCGGCTGTCGTTAAAGCATTGCCACATAATACATAATATTATCAGAGGCAAATTTTTAGCATGTTTTATGTCGACTTCAGATTTTATTTTATTTTTAAATGATATTTCGTTAAAAAATTAATAAATATTTTTGGATTGAATTGTGAAAATAGTGAAACAAATTTTAAATAATAACACGCTCTGTGATTTTTATATTTTTTTTCTTTAATGCAATTTTTATACTCCCTTCATCCCAAAACTATAGTCTGGGTTATATTTGACACAAAATTTAAGAAATATTGATATTATATTGTTAGTGAGTAAAAAGTACGGGTAAAAAACTTTTTTGCTCTTGTGAGTGTATTAGTGTAAAAAAATAGTGACAATTATATAATAATAACGAAAAAGTAAGGGTAGTTTTATAGTAATATGATTATTTATGAAAATAAGATTGGGTTATGTTTGACATGAGATTTAAAGAATATTGATATTATATTGGTAGTGGGTAAAAAGTACGGGTAAAAGACTTTTCTGCTTTTATGAACGAACGTATTAGTGTAAAAAGTAGTGGCAATTGTGTAATAATAATGAAAAAGTAATGATAGTTTTATAGTGATATGATTATTTATGAAAATGAGACTATTGTTTTAAGACGAACAAAAATGATAAACAAGACTATTGTATTAGGACGATGACAATATTTTTTATACTACTTAGTTTTCTAATAAAATAAACCCAATAACATTAATCGATTTTTTTTTTTTAAAAAAACCTATATGTATTTTAGTTATTTTATTATATTAATATACATTTTTTTTAACATATTCATACATTTGGGGTGTGTTTTGATTTTGTTTGTTTAGCGTTTTAGAATAATACTTCATCAGTTCCAGTTATATGTAATTATTTTGTTATTTATCTATGTCCAATTTATATGTATCCGTTTTTTTTTAGTAAAAATATTTTTAACTTTAATAAAATATATTTTATACTTTACATAATATTACAAATAATGCATTTAAGAAAAATTATTTTTTTTATTTTTTATTATATTATTACCTATCAAATATTAATATAACTAAATTTATTTGCAAAAATTCAAATATATACGGAGGGAATAATTAAATAAAAAAAATTACCAAGAAAATATAATAGTGTATAATACTATGTCAATAAAAACTAGGTGACCGGAAAGCGAGATTTGAATCCATGTTTGTTAATATTTATGGTAGTCTAAAATTTTTAGGCTTTGTTTTATACTCCCTCTGTCTTAGATACCATGTCCACGTTGCCGTTTCTGTCCGTCCCACATACCATGTCACTTTCTTTTTTGGAAAATAATTATACATTTTAATCTCATTTAAAACTTTTTAATTTTTTTTAAATTTTAATTAAACTAATTAGTTATCTTAATCTTAATTTATAATTATTTATATTATAGAATAATTATTTTTACTAATACATTCTTAATTATCTACTAATTACACCCCTCCTAAAATATCGTGTCTACAGTGTAGTAGACACGGTATCTGAGACGGAGGGAGTATTTTTTACCATGCAATCTCACTTTATATATATAAAAAAATATAAACAATTTATTTTTGAGAATATTACTCATTCCGTTCAGCAAAAAAATTTACAGTTATTTTTGCAACATTATATTTAATTTTAAAAATATTTTTACTTTTGCATAATTTACTTAACAAATATCATTGCATTTGTATTATAAAAGACTAATAGAGATATTTTTGTCATTTTTTTTATTTGTACTATATTTTGATATAATAATTAATATTTAAATATAAAAAAAAATGAATATTTGTATATATATTTTTTTGCTGGAAGAAAGTAGTATCAAACAACACACGAACAAAAAAATACAAATAAAAGCATAAATTAAACACACCCTTAATGTTGGCTGAAAATATATTTTTAGAAAGCCTTTCGGGCTCGATCAATCCGAAGATTGTTCGATGGGTTTGAGTTGCATGTTTGTCAAAAGTAAATCCAATACGAAAAACTGAATCGTTCGACTTGAACATTTTCAGGTTCAGGTTCGGATTTGGATATTTTAGGTTAGCAAAAAATCGGATTGACCCGAACGCAAAATGAAAAAAAAATTCATGTCATGTTCGGATCAAATTTCGGGTTGACCTGATAATCCAAAAATATAAAAATCAGATTTGTTTTCGAATTTCGTGTTTCGAGTTGACCTGAAATTATTTTTTTTATTATTTGAATTTATAATATTTATATTATACTAAATATAAAATAATATAAAAACTAGATTAAAATTGATTCTTTTTAGGTAAAATTTATTTTTTACAAAGTTTTCGGATCTGTTTCGTTTCGAGTCTGTTCGGATTTCGGGTGACCTGAAACTAAATCATGTCAACTTAAACCCGACTCGAAAAAATTCGTGTTGTGCTCGAATGTAGGTTTTTAGGTCAATTTTGGGTTCGGATCGGATTTAGATTGACATTTTTTATTACTCCATAAATACGACTCGAAAATACGAATTGACACCATATTCAAAATTGAGCATAACATGAATTGAAATACTAAAAATAATGAAAACTAAATTGAATATAATTTGTAAATGCAAAAATAAATTATAAGCTTGAAACAAATGCATAAAGCAGAAGAAAATTAATGCTCCCTACATCCAAATTCAAAATATATTTTTTACCATTTTTTGTTCGTTCTATTTCAAAGTATCTATTTTTTATTTTCGAAATAATGATTATACATTAATACTAAATACCTTTAACTTTTATTTAAATTTCAAATGTATTATTATACATACAATTAATACATAAAGTCAAATAACAAAAATATCAAAATCTCTTACGTACTGACCAATAATATATTATTATTTGTTTGTCTAATACAAAATCCTAAAGAAAAATGAATGCCGAAAAAAATACCGAAAAATATAAAACAAAAGCACCAAAATAAGAGATAGTAAACATAAGTTAAAACATCACAAGATACAAAGAGAACATGCCATAATAACATAGTAGTACAATTACACACAGAAGTTAATGCATGCAATTATTAATCAAAATACATTTAACAATAATAAATAGAATTAAAATTAAAATTAAAATTAAAAGAAAAACAATTTTATTTTCTTTATTTTTTAAAAATAGAAAATAATTAATTAATTAAAAATGGAAATTAAGGGTTTGGTATTTAGACGAGGCGCTTGCAGAGAGTGAGGCCGTCGCCGATGGACAGGTGGGCGAGCTCGACGCGGCGGTCACTGGCGAGGAATGTGTTGAATTTCATGATGTGAGTTCTACACGCCTTCATAAAATCTTGTATCTTCACTTCTTCCTCCGTCGTCGCCGCCACCGACCCCGACCAGAGCGTGTTGTCGTAGGCGATTATCCCACCAACCCTCACCAACTTCAACAACTCCTCGTGGTACTTTATGTTTCTCGACTTATCCGCATCCACAAACGCAAAATCGAACGTCCCGTCTTCCCCCTGCACCACAACCGTCATTGATGAATGTTGGAAAATCGGTTAATTATTTAATCGATGAAATTTAATTTTAATTTAAATTCATGATTTTTTGAACCGATTATGCGGTGAGTTGAAATGCATGTGGACTGTAGGGTAGTTATTGATAATGTGGTTAGACGTATTAATGCTAGTAAGCCACAAGCGCGCGTGCCACCTGCTCGGACCAAATAATAACAGAAGTACACAAGAACGAGTTTTGTCTTCGGCTCAAAGGTCTTCGTTGTGGTCGTGGGTTGGGCTTGAAACTTGACGAAGTCTATTATATTGCCAAGTCAAATTGAAACAACAAAATATGTTGTTGAAAGCCAAGAAAATAATATAGCCAAAAAATTATAATTATATAGATATATAATACTTCATCCGTCCCTTCTATCTATCAATTTTTTTATTTTGGTCCGTCCTAAAATAAAGTATCCATTTTTTTTTAGTAACTCTAATACCTATCTATTACTATCAAAATTATGTTTAAGCTTACACTATATTACAAATATACCACTATAATAAATTTTTACCTCGATGATATTTTAGTTTTTTTACTTTTACTACTATTACACTTTACTATAATACTAATATTCCTGAAACTTCGTGAAAAAAAACAAATGGATAGATAGGTATGGGACGGTAAAAGTAAATGATCATTTGAAATTTAAAAATATTTATAACCGGAAGTATATTTGGTGTTTATAGCCGGACGTTACTGAAATTTAATTGTCATCGATTACGGTGGTTTCGGCTCGAGCATTAATTTCCCCGCATGGTAGAGGTGCCTATAAAAGGCCTTCACCATTTAATTTCTTTACGCACAACCGAGAAGAGAATTCTCTTCTCTCTCTCTAAGTTTCTAGCAATATTTCAGGCGAGTTTCCGGTCAATATTCCGGTCACTTGCATTTTTGTTCAAGTCTCCCGAGATAGTTTGAATTCACTTTATTATAGTTTGTCGGAACTTCGAAATATTTTGGGTATTACATAATTCGGAGACGAACGTCGTTTTATCTTTGAGAACATTGCGCCACGAACCGGAGACACTACCGGGACGTATTCGTTTTTACAGAGAGAGGTTATACCTCGACTCGATGTGATTATCGAATTTATTTCGATAAAATTATTGTGATTATCGAATTTATTCGATAAATTATTTTGATATTGAGTTTTACCTTTCGATAATTATTTGATATTTTCGCGATATAATAATTTTCTAACAATGAATCCAAAATTGAATTTGAATTTGAGATAGAAAGGAATTAGTGTAGTGTAATGTAGGTAGTGTACTGACCTTGTTGAGGAGGTCGTGGAGGACTGTCATGGCGTCGGACCGGATGAATTGAATTTTGTTGGCCATGTCTGCCTTCTGGATGAAAGGCAGACCGGTGTCGAAGGCTTCGCGGTCGATATCGACGGCGATGATTTTGCCATCGTCGGGGAGGGCGAGGGCAGTGGAAAGAAGAGAGTAGCCGGTGAAGACTCCGACCTCTATAGTCTTCTTCGCGTTCATTATTTTGAGCAGCATCGAGATGAACTGCCCCTCATCTGCCGGTACATTCATCATACTCCTTCGCAATTAACATCATAAAATCAAATCAAAACACCAATCCTCAAATTATATATATATATATATATATATGGGCATAACTACATGGGGGCAAGTGGGGAGAGCCCCCCCTCCCCCAATCCACCCCACCTTTTAATTTTTTATTCTAATTTATATTATTTTTATTTGATTTTAAAAGTCTCATTTCTTTTTTGCGTTATTATATTTAACATTAAAAATATATTTATATTTGTATAATTTTTTGCACAAATGTGATTATAATAATATTATAAAACACTAATAGAAATATTTTTGTCATTTTCCCTTATTTGTACTACGTTTTCATAGTAATAATTAATATGTAAAGATCAAAACGTAAAAAATAAATGAGACATTAGAACTGGACGGAGGTAGTATAATTTTTAAAGTATATATAATGAAAAAAAATTATTAAAATTCTGGTAATATAAATTTTTCTTTTACCAATTTTTTTGTATTATTATAAAAAATACCGAAATTTTAATATCAAAATTTTTGGTATGATCTAATATCACATTGAATTTTTTTAGTATGGTAATAATATATACTTTGATATTTTTCAGTATATAATAATATAATCTCAATATTTTGATATTCGGGATATTTATGTATATAAATAATTCAATATATTGATACAAAAAGTATTATTTTAGATTTTAATATTTGAGTATGAAATAATATATCAATATTGTAGCAAAATTTCGATATAGTATCACTATATACATTTTTCATATCGATTTTTCAGGAAAAAATAATTAATCTTCTTTTATTCGAGTTCTGATTCCGCCGCTTTATGTATATATATATATATGATTCAATTCAGATGCAATGATTAATTCAAATGAATACCAAAAATTGTATTTGTCGACTGTGGCCAGCCGCAGCTCCTTGAGCTGCTCGTGCTCTCTCGGATAAGCGCTCGTTTCCAAAACATACTGCAACAGCAACAACAACAACAAAATCATAATCAAAACGCCGTTGAAAAAGATAGATCAACAGATGGGATCAGATGAAATGCATAGATAATCAAATAATTAATCAAAATTACCTTGGCGAGAGCCTCGCTCTGGAGAATGGTGCCGTTGAACTTGCCCTTCATTGTCTAATTGGAAATTGGAATTGAAATTGAAATTGGAACTGCAATTAGAATGTTTGTTCTGAGTTGAGAATTAATGGCGGGGAAGCACTGCTATATATATATATAGATAGATATACGAGCGCGGGCTGGCGAATGCGCCGATGTGCCGCCAACCCCAAACCCCACTAGTAGTGTACTTTATATTTTCTTTTCTTTTTAAAAATACAAATGGGGCTGGGAATTCGATACGGCGTCGTTTTGACGTGGCCGGCGTCCTCAGCACGTCTGAAGATTTTTACTCATATGCTGGCGGCTTCGGATTAACGTACTCCCTCTGTTCTATCGTAATTGATATTGTTTTTTTTTTTTTAATTTGTTTCGTAACAATTAATGGTAAAAATTATTAAATTAAAATATATTTAACAAATATAAATTAATTTAATTAAGAACATAACATACAATAATATAAATGACGTAAGATCTACTCAAAACTCATTTATTATTATCTCTCCTCAAACAAATAAATATTTTTATCAATATTTAAAACTATACATTTTTTTTATAAAATTGATTTATGTTAATTATAAATAAACAAAAATATTTTTTATTATTTACTTTGTATTACAGAAATTTTATTCTCGATATCCATATTGCATATATTTTTTAATTGCTATATAAATTTTAAATATTTAAACATATATTTTAATTTTTTTAATCATATATATTAAAGTTACTTTAAAATTATAAATATTATTAATTACATAAAAAATAATATAATAATAACTCATTATTATTAACTAATTAAATATTTTTAACGTAAATACCGTGTCCCTAATCAAATAGTTCAATTCCGGTGGGACGGAGAGAGGATTTATTTTTGGATTTTTTAGTAAATTAAAAAGTAATACTTACCTTCGTCCACTTATAAAGTTTATATTTGACTTTTGTTTGTTGGTATTTAAATATTAATTATTATATCAAAATTTAGTACAAATCAAAGAAAAAATGACAAAATACTTCTATTAGTGTCTTATAATTCTAATCGAATGACGTTTGTAAAAAAATTATACAAATATAATAATATTTTTAATGTTAAGTATAATGACGCAAAAGATAAATATAAATTTATTAAGTGGACGGAGGGAGTAATATTTATTATTCAATAGACTTGTGTAGAAGTTTTGATAATTTTATTATTTGACTTTGTATATATAATAATTGTATTTGTAATGATATGATTGTAATTTAAGTAAAAAAATAATAAAATATTAAAGAGATATTTTTGAGTGAGATAAAAAAAAATGATATTTTGAATTGAGACGAAAAAAATAATACTTAAAGGTGTGTTTTTGGAAGTTTGAATTTTAGTTTACGATTTGAATATTAAAAATTTTGAATTTAAATAATTATATGATGTGATGTTTTAAATGTAAAATTAATTTTAATATAATATAATAAATAATAAATAGAGATTAGAGTTGATAATTTTTTAAAGTTTGTTTTTTTTTTTAAATATATTTAATGAATAGTAAAAATTTTATAATATTTTATAAACGAACCTACCTTAATATATAATTTCCAATTGTATTAGCATATAACTTTTGTCATCAAATTGCGTTTGGTTGGTGAAACTATCAACTATTGTAACACATAAACAATTGACCTATAATTAAATACATTCTCTGTAGAAATATGTCATACACTACAAAAACAAAAAAAATAAAATATATATTTGTAAAGGAATTCTGTTCCTAAAGTTCACGTAGCTAACGTAATTCCATCTCTAATTTCGTCTCTAATATCATTAGTAACAGAAAAAGTGAATTTAGGAACGAAAAAACCTCGTTACAAAATTAATAATTTCTTGTGGTGATACTTTTCCATCAATTTAATAAGTATATATCTTATCATTTATGTTATTCAAATACAAAATATTTATTTTTTTCCGTAGATATATATATAAAAGTCACTATATATTATAAATACAATCACATTTATACTTATTACAATAATATCATCATATTAATAGAGATAAAATAGTTTTGACATACTAAAATTATTACCAATATAAAATATAAATATTTAATCCAAGTGGCTATATAAACAAATAATAGTTGATAAAATTTATTTTAATATATAATTTCTTATTGAATATTTTTATGTCAATCAAACTAAAAATAACATAAATTTAGATAATAAATAGAATATCATATTCATAAAAGAACATAGTTTCATTATTGGCTATTATTTTTACTTTATTTACAATCCTCAATCTTTATAATTTTCTTATAAATATATATTTTTTTCATAAAGTATTATAGTTAAATTACCATTAAAAACAAATCAAAATTAATATCGTCAGTTCTTTTTATATATTCTCTATGTCCGTCTCTAAGGATCATATTTATATTTTGCATCATTGTACTTAACATTAAAAATATTCTTATATTTGTAATTTTTTTTTTTTTTACAAATGTCATTCTATTAATATTATAATACACTAATATAAGTATTTTTACAATTTTTTCTTAATTTATATTATGTTTTGATATAATAATTAATATTCAAAGATCAACATCTAAAAAGTAAATGAGACATTTAGAACCGGACGTAGGTAATACTTTTTTAGGTTTTTAATTTCATTAAAAAAAAGATATAATTCCGATGGTTTGAGTTGTATGTGCATGTCACAATAAATATATACAACACAATATTTTCTTACAAATTATTATATCAAATTACTACACAAACAACCACTTATTTTTGTACTATTCATAAAAATTAACGTGGTACTGACCTGATGGACACGTGTCCTCCGGCATACCATGCAACCATCTCCAACATTGAAAGGCTAAATATATAAAAAAATTTTACTTACAAAATCATTTTAAAATAATTCATAATTACGAGACTAAGGGGGTGTTTGACAAATAGCTTTTTGAAGAACTTTTAGCTTATTGAACAACTTTTAGCTGTTTGACCAGTCAAAAAACTAATTTAGGTGTTTGTTAAATTAGCTTTTTGGACCCAAAAAGCTAATTTCTGAAAAGCTAACTTACTCAGCGTTTTGAAATAGCTTTTTCTGTAAAAAAAAAAATTTATTCCTTATATGCCCTTAAAAATTTATTATGCATTTTACATAGATAAATATATTTTGATTATTTATTAATTATATTAGAATATTTTATTATAATATAGTTTTACTTTTATAAATTTAAAATAATTAATTTTTATATAAAAATTATTTTAATTGTAAAATATATAAATTTATTAAAATCAACATAAAATAGAAAATATAAATATTAATAATTTATTTTTATTTTAAAATTACATTATATAAATTTTTATACTAAAATAAATTAAATTTATTGAAAATTATAAATATAATGAACTAATCAATAACTAACATAATAAATATATACACGAAAAATTTATTATTTTATATTTTACATCATTTCCAATAGAAAAAACTATATATATATTTTAATAAAAATATATTATTTTTTAAAATCTAACTGTAATAAAAATAAATACTTTTATAACACTTTTACAATTTTCAATAACTAATAACAAAAAATTTTAAACATTCTAAATTCAAAAGAACATAATTGAATATATTAGAAACAAAATAAAATAGAAATGTCTGAATTATCATTTTACGTATAAACAGCTAATATTAAACAGTTGTTTTACCAAACATTTTAATGCAAACAACTAATCGAATCAGCTAGTCAAACCAGCTAATTGAATCAGCTAACAACTATCAACTAATTGAATCAGCTAACAGCTAATTGTCCGCCCTAAATTAAAATAAGATTCAATTACGTGATTAAAAAAAATAGTTTATATATATACTCCCTCCGTCCACAAGAAAAGTATACAATTACTTTTGGCGCGGTGTTTAAAAAATAATAGTATTTTAATTATAGTGGGTAGTTAAAAGTAGTGTAATGACATTTTTGCTCTTGCTTTTTGGTGTAAAAGTAATGATGTGATGTAAAGTAGTAGTATTTGTGAAAAAAAAATAAGGTATTTAATGAAATATTTACTTTGTAATTGGACGTCCCAAAATAGAAATATGTATACTTTCTAGCTAACGGAGGGAGTATATTTTTTACTGGGCTTGATTAAAAGAAAGCCCTCAACTATGTTAAAAATTTGTCTACTTATATTCATCGTGTATACTGTTAGGGTTTGTTTGTTTAGCGAATTTGTTTGAATAGATAATTTTTTATATGAAGTATAAAAAATTGTATAAGTAAAATAAAAATAATAGATATGTGTAATATTTTAATTTTTTTTAAAAAATATATTTTTGAGGAATTGTAAAATCTTATTAAAAGAAAAGCTTCTTTTCCTTCTTGAACAATTTAACATCTTATGGAGCCCTATTTTTTTTAGAGCTTTTTTTATTTTTGAGATATAACTTCGCATAGAGCTTATTTGATTCGAAACTTTTTTGACCGAGAAAAACAATTATATTGAACATTATTAAATAAAATGTTCTTTTTCCAAAATTTTAAAAGTTTTTTTGTTTAGTTTTTCTGTTTGAGGTATACTTTTTGTATGTAAAATATAAAAAATTAGTATGTAATACAAAAAGTTAATATTTAATTTTAAATGTTGATTTTGTGTAAGATAATAAAATATAATATAGTATATATTGAGAATCGTGTTGAAAAAAATATTGAAAGAACAAATTTTAAATTATTGAATAATAATCAAATCTCAAGCCTAAGGAATAGACAAAAAAAAAAAAAAAAGAAAGAAAAACTTGTTAATGAAAAAAAAAAATGTTAATTGGAATTTCCCAGGGTGTGTTTGTTCGAGGGTTTGGATTTTGAGTTGGGATTTGAATAGTAAAAATTTTGAATTTGAATAGTTGTATGATGTGATATAAATAGGTGTTGATGTGATGTTTTGAATGTAAAATTAATTTTTAGTATAATATAAAAAATAAAAATTAGGTTTTTGATTTGATATATTTTTTTTTTTTTAAAAAAAATGGAATGAATAGTATATTTAAAATCCAATCCCCAAAACAAACGATCATTCGACTCGGCCTATGTGGGATTTGACCATCACCACAAAAGTCATTAAATAAGTGGAGATCTGTTTGAAAGTTGGTAGGAAAATTACGATGGAGATCTGTTTGAAAGTTGGTAGGAAAATTAGGAGGAATCGCACTTTTAATCTTTTAAATTCAATTCTCTTATAATATATTATTTGAACTTAAAATTTAAATTAAAAAAAAAAAAAAGGTTAAACCAAAATACAAACCAAACAAACTCATGATTTTGTGGTTCTAGGATGAATTTAATTCATATAAAGTTTCCACAATGCAATATATATATATATATATATATAACAAAATTGAATCGAATTTATTTACATGATTTGTTGATATATATGTCTTTCAATTTTTGCTTGTAACTATATGAAAAATGAAGTGAAAGAATTATATACACACATATATATATAATATTCATTAAACAAATACTCCATCCGTCTCATGTAATATGGGTATATTACCGTAGACACGGGAATTTAGGTAAAGTATAATTAGTAAGTAATTAAGAAATATATTAGTAAAAATAATTATTATTTACTAAAAATAATTATAGATTAAGGTTAAGATAACTAAATAGTTTAATTAAGATTAAAAAAAAAAAATTTTAAATTTTAAAATATGATTAAAGTGTATAATTAATTTTCCAAAAAAGAAAATGACAAATTATGCGGGACTGACGAAAATAGAAAATATGGACAAATTATGTGGGACGGAGGAGGGAGTATTACATACAATATTAATATTTCATATAAAAAAGTCCAAAGCAGTAGATAGAAAAATAGGTATTAAAATAAACTCAAAGTAAACACAAGTTAAATTAAATATCACAAAATACAAACAGAACACGCCGATAATAACATAATACAATTAAACAAAGACGTTCATGCATGCAATTATTAATTAAAATACATTTAACAATAAGAAATAATAATAATAAAAAAGTAAAAGTAAAAGCAATTTTTTTTTTAATTTTTTTTTGTTTTCTTTGGCATTTTAATTTTCTTTTTTAAAAGAAAATAATTAATTAATTGAAAATGAGAATTAAGAGTTTGATACTTAGACGAGGCGCTTGCAGAGAGTGAGGCCGTCGCCGATCGAGAGGTGGGCGAGCTCGACGCGGCGGTCGCTGGCGAGAAATGTGTTGAAATTCATGATGTGGATTCTCCACGCCTTCATAAAATCTTGTATCTCCACCTCTTCCTCCGTTGCCGCTGCCACCGATCCCGACCAGAGCGTGTTGTCGTAGGCGATTATTCCCCCGACCCTCACCAGCTTCAGTAGCTCCTCGTGGTACTTTATGTAGCTCGGCTTGTCCGCGTCGACGAACGCAAAATCGAACGTCCCCTCTTCCCCCTGCACCACAACCGTCGTTGATGAATCCAAAATTGAATTTGAATTTGAATTGAATTTGAATTTAAATTTGAAAGGAGTTAGTGTAGTGTAGGGTTAACATACTGGGTTGAACAAAACAAGTGTTCATATTTATTCGTTAACGTTTGCGAACAAATTTTTTGTTCGTTCGTTAAACTTTCGAGCTCGTTCGCAGTGTTTGAGCTTGGTTCGTTAAAAAATTTTATTATTTGAACTCGTGTTTGTGTTCGGCTCACATTCGAGCCTGTTTGTTTGGTTTTTTTTTTTTTTTTAATTCATATATAAATTAAAATAAAAATTTGAAATTATTTAATTTACTTTAAATTGATATTTAATTTATTTATAAATTATAATTTTGTATGTATAAAAAAAATTATAATAAATATATTTTTTAACGAACGTTTGCGAATAAAGCTCTTGCTAGTTCGTTAATCAAACACTATTTATATTATTCGGCTAGGCTCGTTAACATTCGTAAACGAGTTTTAACTGAATCGAATAGAATCAAGTTAAAAAATGCTTTGATTCGTTTAATAGTTCTAAGTGTACATACCTTGTCAAGGAGGTCCTGAAGGACTTTCATGGCGTCGGACTGGATGAATTGGATTTTGTCGGCCACGTCGGCCTTCTGGATGAAAGGCAGGCCGGTATCGAAGGCTTCACGGTCGATATCGACGGCGATGATCTTGCCGTCGTCAGGGAGGGCGAGGGCGGTGGAGAGGAGGGAGTATCCGGTGAAGACTCCAACCTCTATTGTCTTCTTCGCGTTCATTATTTTGAGCAGCATCGAAATGAACTGCCCCTCGTCCGCCGGCACATTCATCATACTCCTTTACAGTTAAAGGCATCCAATCAAATCAATTCAAATTAAATCAAAACACCAATTCTCGATCAAATTATATATACATGATTCAAATCACGACAGATAGATCTCTCGATCAAATCAGATACCAGAAATCGTATTTGTCGACTGTGGCCAGCCGCAGCTCCTTGAGCTGCTCGTGCTCTCTCGGATAAGCGCTCGTTTCCAAAACATACTGCAACAACAACAACAACAACAAAATCATAATCAAAACGCCATTGAAAAAGATAGATCAACAGATCGGATAAGATGAAATGCATAAATAATCGAATAATTAATCAAAATTACCTTGGCGAGAGCCTCGCTCTGGAGAATGGTGCCGTTGAACTTGCCCTTCATTGTCTAATTGGAAATTGGAATTGAAATTGGAACTGCTATTAGAATGTTTGTTCTGAGTTGAGAATTAATGGTGGGGAAGCACTGCTATATATATATATATATATATATGTGCGCCGAGTGCCGGCGACCAATCCAACATTTCTCCATGTTACACCAACCCAACCCCCGCTGCTATTTTACTTTATATTTTATTTTATTATATTTAAAAAAATAAATACTCCACAAATTTGGTGGGAAATTCGATACGGCGTCGTGTTGACGTAGCCGGCGCCTACCAACTCGACATGCATTATAGGGAGAAATATTGAAAAAAATTGTAAAAAATATCTCACGTATATATTTTATTATTACTTTTTTTTATATATTTATATCGCTGTGTGCAGGGACGGTTCATAGTAGAAGCAACTCAGTGCCTTTAATTAATATAGGGCCTATATTTTAAATATTATCTATTATTATTATTATTATTAAATTTAAATTCTAACTTTTAATTTATATTTTTTTTCTTTATAATTATCCTATTTAATATTAAAATTAAATTTTAATTTCTAATCATATATATATTTTTATTTATTTCTTCTAATCGTCTGTACTTCTTTACCTCGCATTGTGTCCAGCAACTCGATCAAACTTACCTCATCTTTTCTTTTATATCTTTAACCCTCCTTCAGTCCTTGTTTTTCGAACTTTCAAACAGACCGGCTTTCAACTTCTTTTCTCAATTGATATTGTCCAGACGGTCAGGTTCAATCTTTTGTCCAACGCCAATCAATAATATTATTAAAAATACATTTTAATTATGTATTTGTAAGGACTATAATTTACTTTCGCTCAGGACCTAAAAAAAGTCCGAGACTGCCCTGCCTACATGTTTGCAAAAGTCATTATTTTTATCCTTCTGCTGCGCATGAATGCGCGTGTGTGAACATCACTCGCAGTCAAATGATTTAAATAACGACTTTTGCAAACATGTAGGATAATTTTACCAGCGAGACAAATATAGAACAAAAGTGATAATGGAGTATACGTATAAAATATATTTTGCAATTTTTCCATGAATTATTTGTAGCATTATTTTCCCAATGAATTCAAAATCAAGGGTCTATACATTGTATATGAGATTTTAATAAAAGTACATCCTCACTCGGTCCCAAATCAAAGTACCATTTTTACTATTTTTCGTGCGTCTCATTTTAAAGTATTGCTTTCCTATTTTAAAAAAAGTAATGATAGACTAATAACAAAATACTCTTAACTTTTATCTATATTACAAACATACCATTACATATACAATTACTTTATATAAAAAAATCGATTGACAAAAATGTCAAAATCTTTTATACACAGTCACTAACCAATAAAAAAAAAAAAAAAAACCAATAAAATACTACTCCCTCCGTCTCATATACCGTGTCTGCTACACTGTTACAAACCAATAAAATACTACTCCCTCCGTCTCATATACCGTGTCTGCTACACTGTCACTAACCAATAAAATACTACTCTCTCCGTCCCATATACCGTGTCTGCTACACTGTAGACACAGTATTTTAGGAGGGGTGTAATTAGTAGATAATTAAGAATGTATTAGTGAAAATAATTATTATATAATATAAATAATTATAAATTAAGATTAACATAACTAATTAGTTTAATTAAAATTTTAAAAAAAATAAATTAAAAAGTTTAAAATGAGATTAAAGTGTGTAATCATTTTCCAAAAAAGGAAGGTGACATGGAATGTGGGACGGACAGAAACGACAACATGGACATGATACGTGGGACGGAGGGAGTATTATTTTTTAATTTACCACAAAACTCAAAAAAACTCATTTGATAAGGGATGAAGAGAGTATTTTTTATATAATATTTTAAATAACATATGAGTGGTGAAGATGAGTTTTTAATGAAATAAATAATTTTATGGTAGATTGCCATTTTAATCAATATTTTTCTCTAGTCTATATTAATTTTTTTTTTTCCATGTTAGGATATAAAGCACATGTTATTATAAATCAAATTCAATTTAAATTGATTTATGTTTTTAAAAATTATCATCTGAAATGATCACCATTAATTAATTAGTGTGTACATCAATTCATATGATGTCCCAATCACATAATTAAGCACGTATGTTATGAAATATTTTGGCATGTTTTCGATTCAAAACATATTGAAAATTCGATCAATAGACATTTTAAGGCATATGCTTAGGCTCCGTTGTTACTCAATATTTTTAAATGAAATAATTTTTTATGTGTAATATGAAAATTATATTAATAATATAAATATATTATTTTAATTTGAATTTTTTATTTTTTAGAATGAGTATTTGAAAAGTTTTTTATTTTTAGTTTTTGACTTTTTCTAACGAGTATTTGAAGTTTTTTTTCCTTTGACTTTTATATAAAGTATTTTGTGTTTTAATTATTATTTTGGATAATCGCAATTCAAAGATAGTGTTGGGAGAATAGAGTTTTACACTCTATATATTAATATTACTTTCGGTCCATAAGAATGATACTATTTGATTATTTCGTCATTATAATTGATATTAAAAATATTTTTATATTTGTATAATTTACTCCACAAATGTCATTGTATTTGTATTATAAGAGAATATATTTTTCTGTTTCTTTTGATTTTTACTACTTGTTAATATAGTAATTAATATTCAAATATCTATACGCAAAAAGACAATAATACCCTTCTTATAAGACGGATGAAGTATATTATTAATTTGAAAGATGTACTCTGTCTTGTTCAAATCTAAATGGATCATTTGGGATTTTGTAGTAGATTAAAACTAATACAAATATTTTATTAGTCAGTGAAAGTTAGTAAAAGATTTTGACATTTTTGCCATTTTAACTTTATCTATAAAGTAATCATATGTGTAATGGTATAATTGTAATTTAATTAAAAAGTAAAAAAGTATTTTTGTATTAGTGTATGATTACCTTTTCTAAAATAGACAAATATACTTTTGAGTTGGACAAGTGAAAATAGTAAAAAAAACTTTAAGTTTTGGATAAGGAGAGTGTTTCGTGCACATTTACTTTAACACAATGAGGTTTCACGCAATAAATAAAATATATGGTATTTTATGCATTTTTACTAAAATATAAGGTAGTGTTATATATAAAATTCTATCAAAAAATTGAAATAAGAAGGGTGTGTTGTTTTGTGTTTTAATTTGAAAAAATTTTTTTTTTTCGTGAGATATATAAAATTGCGTAGATAATATAAAAATAACATTTAAAAATATCTTTGTCCAAGAGTATATTTGGCCATGTATGGTATTGGGTCCTACTTATAAATATTTATTATTATATAACTATACATTGGTTTGTTTTAAAATAATTTATACTAGTAATATATATATATTTTATAATATAAATATTTAATTTTATAAATATTATATAGTATTTTATAATTTTACTGATATATAATTTTAAAAATATTACCAAAATAGTATAATTTATTACTTAATCATATATATATTAAAAATCAAAATTTTATTTTTATATCATCGACCTATATCATAATTATTACAATCTCAAATATTTTCAAAATATATTTAAATATCTCAAATTCAAAAGGATTCACAACTAATAATTTTCAAATATTAATTTCCAAAATACATATATAGAATTTAATGATTAGTTTATGAGAAATATTCAAAATGAAAACAAAATACAAAGTGAACAATCTCATAAGTCATATCTTATATTCCCTGCATCCCACTTGAATTGAACCATTTGATTAGAGACACGATATTTAAGGTAAGAATGTTTAATTAATTAATAATAATTAGTTATGATATTATGATATTATTTTTTATAATTAATAATATTTATAGTTTTAAAATAAATTTAATATATATGATTAAGAAAAATTAAAATATATGTTTAAATATTTAATAATTATACAACAATTAAAAAATATATGCAATATGGATATCATTTTATAGAAAATAAAATTTTCTATTATACAAGTAAATAAAAAAAAATATTTTTGTTTATTTATAATTAACATAAATTAATTTTATAAAAGATGTGTAGTTTTAAATATACATAAAAATAACTATTTTTTTGAAGAGAGAGACAGGAATAAAGAGGTTTTGAGTGGTCTTGCGTCATTTATGATGTTGTATGTTATGTAGTTAATTATGTTTTGATTTGTTAAATATGTTTTGATTTAATAATTTTTATCAAAAATAGAGATATATCAATTATAACGAGACAGATAAAAATGAAAATAGTATCAATTGTGACCGGACAGAGGAAGTACATATATTTTTTTTTTAAAAAAAAAAATATACATTATATATTTATTATTTTTCTATTATCTATATAATTTTCTATACTTCGCAAGAATAATAATATTTTTAAAATATTTCACAAATCAAATCAAATCAAAACGCAATCGAATTTGAAATATTCGTGCACCCCATACATAATGCATGTGTACCATAAATATATGTATATATATATATTTATATTTATTTATTTATAATGTATTTATTTTATTTAATGCATGCTATAGAGTTATAATAATTAATAATGATTAGTGATTAATGATTAAGGTAAGAAGAAGTGCAAAACACGACTCTCCATTAGAAAAAGAAAAGGAAGATTCTTTTATTTAATTATTTAATAAATGAAAAAAATCAAACCAAACAAATGAATTAACAAATCATCAAATTGCGTTTGGTTGGTGAAACTATCAACCATTGTAAGGCAGAGACAGTTGACATTCATAAAATACATTCTCTGTAAAATTTTGTGTGTGTTTGTTTGAGATTTTTTTTTATTTTATTTTATTTTTTATTTATGAAATACGGAGAATAGTATTGATAATATAAAAAAAATAATAATATTTTGTATTGAATATTAATTTCTTTGTAAAAGAAAAAGTATACATTTGTCATAAAAACTTATGTTTATTTGACCAGACACATATTTTTAAAAAAATGAGTAAAATTAAAAATTCCTTTTCATACTAAAAAAAATAGAAAAAATGATACTCCTTCCGTCCACACATAAAATATACAATTACTTTTAGCGCGGTGTTAAGAAATAATAG